TCAGTGATTCTTCTTCACAAAGGTATCTTAAAAAAAGGTTAAAAAACAAACAAACAAACTAAGCATGTTTAACAAATATCACTTTATTCTTAAACATTTTAGGTACATTTAAAACAAAAAGGGATTTATGTTTTAACTTGTGTTCCACCCTATAATAATTTTGCCTTGTCATCCCATACTTGTTCTAAATTTTCGTTTTCCAGGAAATATATTCAAAACAATATTTGGATTTGATTTCCAAGTACGTTCTCGTTGTTAGGCTAATTTGTTAATTTCTTGCAAGAAGCTTACATTTGCTGTTGGTTTGTAAAGTAATACATATAAAGAATATATAATGAATCCTAATTTATTTTTACAATGAATGGGTTAATGTTATTTACTTAATGTCATGAGTCTTTTTCTCATAATGTGCTTGTAAATTATTATTATCATTATTATGTAAACACTTTATAATAAATAAATAGTTGATCACTTTTATGGTAGCTGATGTGCATTTCTCTGAAAGAAAAGAGCCACTTTGTTTTTATAAGAGAAACCAAAGTCTGAATTTTTTTCTAGCCTGGGAAAAACAAACTCTTGTTCTATTATTTGCTTCATACAGAGGATCTGGACCTTTAGGTATTGAGAAACGATTATTTGCTGGAGGTGTGAACTTTGTTGAAATATTACATTTTACCCAATCAAAATGTACAACTCTTGGTGCAGGGCCAGCCCATGGCAAATGTTGAGGGTGCCAGCCATCCAGAGGCGGCCATAAAATGGGCAAACAAATAAAGTAACTTTAACTGTTCTTTTTAAAATGTATATGTATTAATGACATTTCCTATTATTAAATATTCTACACTAAGTTAACTGCACAGCAAAAAATGTTGTATACAACATTAATAATAACGATATTTTGCTTAACACTAATGAGATGGAAAACATTATTGTTTCATGAAGTTTTTATTTGACCAACACTTTGCCCAATGATTCATTACTCAACAGTGACATCTGCTGCTGAACTGAAATTATAATGACCTTGTTATTCAAATAAATCATACTTCAAAAAAAAATTAGAACATAGCAGTGTTTTTATCAAACATTCTTGTGGTGTAATCCATTGAATTACATGGACCAGGGTGCAGACCATGCTTAGCCATTGGGCAGTATCAATCAATCAAGTTTACTTCTATAGCACATTTCAAAAACTGCTAAGATAGCCGAAAGTGCTGTATATTAAAACAGAAATGTAAAAAACATACAAACATATGAAATGTGCTGTATTTTGAGGTGCCATACAAGACAAGACCACAGTATGTTAAAATCCAAGGAATAAAAGTGTGTTTTAAAAAATTGCTTAAAAACAGAAAGAGAGGAGGCCTGTCTGACACTCAAGGGTAACTTGTTCCATAACTTGGGAGCAACAAGAGCAAATGCCCTATCACCTCTAAGCTAGTTTTAGGGTCTCTCTGCATCAACCACTCAACTGATCTTAGGAATTGGGGTGTGCAGTATGGTTGAAGCAACTCTGACAGATGTGGTGGAATAAGGTTGT